CAAGGTCTCCCTATGTAGTTCACACTAGCCTCAAACTCATGGTGTTTCTCCTGCCTCAGCCTCCCGAGTGCTGGGATTACAAACATGTGCTACCACACTTGGCTGACATGCCCTCTGAATTTTCTTAGCACATTTTTCATCTTCCACTATATTATCTAGCTTATTCTATCAAGCTCATCGGATTTCATTATTTTTATCATGCACCAGATCTATGAGATATGCCGGAGTCTTTCTTTGATTATGACTTTTCATGTCTTGGTGGAAAACCATCTGGTAGATGACATAAATTATCTGGCACACTAATTCATCATCTTGTTGAGCATTTAGTAATTCAATAAGGAAAGAGATTAATCCAGATTTAGCTAACAATGCAGCACAAGCATCATTCATAGATACAGTTTCAATCATTAGAATTACTTCTAAAACAAGGTCATCTTCTGCAGCACCTGGTTTTAGTTTATCCTTGACATACGGAACCAACTTGTACTCCTTGAGAACTAGTTCTTAGTCCAAGAGTTCCCAAACATTCAATCACAAACTCCTCATCATTAGTGGCCTGAGCAGCAAGGTCTCCAACATAATCAATAAACAAATTTTCAGTTGGTCCATCATGTTGAGTAATGTTTCTAATCATTTCTAAGCAATGGATCCTTAATCTTCAGAGTCCTTTTCATGAGTAGCTTCAGTCCCTTTCCTTCATAGATCAGCTGTACATTCCTTTTGTTAGCAAGATTAATGCAGAGAAATGAGTCCCAAACCAATTGGTTCATGTGAACATTCAAAGAGCATTTTCATTAATGGTGGTAGACAGCATATGCAGATATAGGTTTAAAGCTCTCATTGACGCTTATGTGGTAAAGCACACTTGTTCCTTATTCCTGGGTCAAAGGACAGGTCTAGTAAAAGCTGGAGTTATAGTCAGTAAACCTTTATGCTCATGCAGTCAGTTTTACCCATTTTTCAGCACTTGCCATTTCCACCATATCATTTTTATTCTCCATTAAAATGCTGAGTTTAGGACTGTTACGACTAGAAATAGCAGCTTGAAATTGTCATAATCAAGAGTCGTCACCAAAATGTGAACTACACTCTTATTCCTCATCTTCAGTTCTGTGAGTGTCCTCAGCCAAATATCCTTTGCTTCTTTTCAGAAGCAAATAAAGAGTAACTCACAATAGCTGTTCTTGTTTTGCCACAAACCCCTGGTATTTTCTAAAGGCTTTTTCATAATCTCTTCTCAAAGTTTGGCCTTCAGTCTTCATCAACAGCCTTCTTAGAAAGTTCTTCTTGCCAAAGCTTGTGTCTTTTTAACTCATGATCAATGATATTCATACACAGAGCGCCAATTTTATAGTGATTATTCAAACAACTGAGTAAAGCTGGAAAAGCAAAGAGATGTAAATTATGTTTGTAGCTAATGCAACGATTTGTTTCGTTTCCTCTCAAGCCTCTTGCTAGTGCACAGAAGGCAGTTTCATTTAAGCATAGTTCTTCCAAGTTACCAGGATTGGGAACAAGCTGCAGGATCAAAGCAGAGCTCAAATCATGTGAAGAGTATCTTCATACAATAACTCAGTGTACTTGTCCATGTCATTAATGATGGCAACTTCATCAATCTCTGTTCCTTCAAAAGGAGGTGAGTCTTTCCTTTTTTCCATGACAATGAATCACAGCAGTTCTGCATATAGCACAATTATTCATTTCATTTATCTTTTTTTTGGCACCAGGGATCAAACCCAGGACCTTGAGCTTCCAAGGCAGGCACAGTGCCGCTGAGCAAAATCCCTGGTCCTTCATTTTGTTTTGAGGGATGACTAAGTTTATACTCCTCAACTACCTTTTGTGCCAGGAAATTCTATCTGTGCTGGTACTGAGACGTTTCAGATGAATTGCTTTTGGCATTCTTTTTGTTCTCTCAACATGGGATTGCCCATTTCTCCAAGAATGGTGGCTTCCACTTCATACTGAACAGTACATGCTTTTTCTGATGGATGCACATCAAAATTACCTCCTTTAATTTTCCTTTGGAGGTACCAGGCATCCTCCCCTGCAGGGCAGCGACACGTCATGGGCCTACTTCCAGACCAGGTCCAGTGCCTCCCCCAGGACCCTGATTCTCTGGAGGTGGGGAAATGGGGCAGTTGCACTGCTGTGGTTATCATGGTGAGCCCCCCCCCCCAGGCAATGTCCCCCATCACAACTGCTGCAGGGACTTCCTGAGACACAGGTGCCAAGTGCCTCTATTCTTTTTAGTTTTAAGGTATGCCTTCTTTACACATGTAATGGAAATTATATTCTTGCAGTTTGTGCCTTTTTTGTGATAGTGTCTTAAACAAGTTCATTATAGCTGAATTTATCAATCTTCCTTGCTTTTGAATACTTTGTTCTATTTACATATCCTCAGTGTTTTAAGTTTTGATATTTGTTTAATCCACTTGAATTTTTTTTTTTTTTGGCACCAGGGATTGAACTCCGGTCCTTGCGCTTGCGCAGCAGGCAGCGAAACCACTGAGCTAAATCCCCAGCCCTCCACTTGAAATTTTTATGAAAAGTGTAACAGAATTTTTTCTGAGATAAGGTCTCATATGTAGTTCAGGCTGGCCTTGAACTTGAAGCAATCCTGCCTTAGCCTTTCAAGTGCTGAGCAATGTCTGGCTTAAACTTTTTTCATGTATAGTATTAATTTATGGTTCATTTTCTCTACTGAATCATGTCACTTGTTATATATTAATGTTCCAGATATTTGTGGGCCTGTTCATTGACTCTCTTCTGTCCTATGTGTAAAATACTAAAATTACTAAAATAACTGTTACACATTTATAAGTCTTGGTCTTTGATAGGTAGAATTCCTTCATTTCTTCTTTAGGAATTTACTATTCATTGACTGTTTTCGATCCTTTATTTTTCTATACATATTTAGAATGAGTTTGTAAACTTTCACAAAAATTTGTTGGGATGCTGATTGTGTATATATTTGATCTACACAGCAATATGGGGCAAACACATTATAAATGGGTATTTCTACACTTAGGTTTTCTTTAATGTCTCCCAGTAAAACTTTTTTCTTACATGTTTGGAATATCGTTTGATAGTTTTATCTCTATGTAACTTGTTGCTAAGATGCACAATATGAATTCTAATTGATGATGATACATAGTCACACATCAACTTCTGTTGTATCTATTACTACTAGCAATTGCAGCCTTGAATTTTCTAAGTAAAGAGTCATTATCATTGGAAATAGTGGCAGTGGCCACTGCCTGTTTTCCTTTGAATCCTATGCTACTGATAATGACAATATAGTGGACTGTTGACTTACAAACTCAATTTGTTCTTGCGGGCTGGCTGTAACTCAAGTTGGTCAACTGGAAGGCTCAGGCTCCTCTACATAGCCTTCAAAGTCTACAGGCAGATCTCAGTGTGCCTAGAGACACACTGCCCCAGGGTTTCTCAACCCCACACAGGAAAGGGTGCTGTAATGTTCCTTCCAGAACTCTTTAAGGGTTAAATCTGTATCTGGGACCATCCAGAAGCACTAGCGGTCAAGAGTATTCAAAAGTTAAAACTAAAATTCCAGTCATAACCTAAGTTGTTCATATGTCAAGCTGGCTGTAACTCGAGGCTCCACTGTACAATGTTAGAAAAGAGTAGTAATGACAGGAATCCTAGTCCTAGTCCCAATTTTACTTTAAAGTTTCTTTTTTTGTTTTTGAGACAGGGTCTCACTATATAGTCCAGGCTGGCCTCAAACTCATGATCCTCTTTCTCAGTCTCCAGCATGCATCACCACACTCACCTCTCCTAAACCCAAGTTTAGTAAGTGCTTACTGGGAGTGCTTCAGTGTTTCCTTCGCTAAAGCATGAGGTCATTGGTTTTAGATCTTAGTCTGTGTCCCGACTGGCCTTGAACTCACATTCTCAAAAATAATTTTACTTTCTATATAACCTTTAAGGAGACTAGCAATGTCTCTCTGAAGATCATAGAAATTCTACTTTATCATGATGCTAGGAAGCATAAAATTAAGCGAGAGTTCTCACCCTTAAGATTTAGAAGTTATCTAAATACATTTAGCTCAATGGTTTCGCTGCCTGCTGCACAAGCACAAGGACCCGAGTTCGATCCCCAGTACCAAAAAAAAGTTATCTAAATACTTACCTCTAATTTCATATATACATTTATATTATTTGTATACTTACCCATTTTTAATGATTTTAAAGTTTAATGTGTAAAGTCAGTATCTCAGAGAAACATTATCTTACAAGATAGCTGAAAGAGAAATGATAATTCTAAAATTAAGATTATGATTTATGAATTTGGGTTTACTCCTTGGGTTTCTCCTATTCATTCCCTCATTTGCTCTGGAAAGATGAAGAGTACCTACAAAAATTCCATCTGAATCTGTCAGGCACATTTTACCTGGTCCACATATAATGACAATTTCCCTTATGTCTTCAATTTGTGTTACAGGGAGAGCATGGATCATTTTATAAATATTCAATTGGCAATATTTTAACACAATGACTATCAAATGGCTAGTACTATTTTATTCATTTGCCTAGTTATGAAAAGTCAAGTCCTAAATTAAAATAAGTTAACCCAAACAAGAGAAAAGTACATATAATACCAGTCCTTGTATTTTAATAATAATGCGTGTTCTTCAATTATAAGAACTTTATTGCTCCCCCTCCACCTCTATCCTGAGTTTATCATTGTATTGGGCATCCCATATAATATCCACTGAATGGAAGATGCTACTGACATTACAGTGGCAGAATACAAAATTTCCCCATTTTTCCCAATGAAGTGGACAATCTGCTGTGAATTTTCATGATTTTAGCCTTTCCCAGACAAAAGACACTTACAAGAAGTCTAATGAAATTAGTTTTTGAGATCTTAAATATAGCAAAGCTAATGCATATTTTAATCCTAGGAGGTTTCTAACAGGAAATAATACTTAAAACCAAAGTTACAAATTTCAGTCTGTTTAAACTTTAATTTGTGCATTTGTGGTAATTTATGACTGCAAAAAACACTTCTCAGAATGACAAATAGGCACATTTCATTTGAATGCATAGTGTACCATTCTAAAATATCCTAATTGCCTTACAAAGTGCTTGAGCAGTCACATACACATACAGTAATAGCAAAATATATTTACAATCTTAAAATTTTTAATCTGACTAAAATATATATATATATATATACTTTAAACTACAGAAAAAATTAGTGCTTTCTTCAGCTTAATTGTGTGAATATACCCTGCCCTCTAATTTTTTAGTGATTGACTTCAATTAAAAAATTTCTGTACACCGTGTAGTTATAAAATGCTATGTCAGTTTTTAAAATGCTAAAAGCCCATTTTAGACATTGCTTTCTAGGCATATTTGAGAACCAGATAGGTGAGCAGACTGTACCTCAAAAGCATTTAGTGTTTTATTTTAATGCTGTTAATGATGTTTAAATTAAAACTAGAAAATTATGCTTAGGTCTCCTACTATCTTTTCCCAAGGAAGTTTAACTGGCATTTAAAAATAAATTTAAATAACACATTATTCTTCTTTTTACAAGATTTTCTTCCAAAGGATCTTGGGTAATAATTTTAAAGGTAATATGAATTGTTTTTGAACAGTTTTAATTGTTCTCAGAGTACAATAAAAACACGTCAACACAATCTTCACAACGCTGCAATATTTATAAATGCTTTCGCTCAACTCCACAAACTACTCTTATTTTTATAAGATTTAAACTTGAATAATTTTTAAGAGATGAGCTCACTGTGATTAAATGGTTAATTCAGCATGGTTAGTTAACAACTTGTTATTCCTGAGGTATAATGACCCTAACATGCTAAGCACAGGATCAAAGATATTACTAAAGAGAAAACAAGTCATGGACTAGGAGGGGAAAAATGTAAAAACAAAGTAAAACAAAAACTCCAAGCAAATGGAAAGTCATGATTTGCAAAACATATACTGTAAGAGTACAAAAAGCCACAACGGATCCTCTTGAAGAATTGTAAAAAGTATTTGATCAAATTATTTTTCAGACTTCTGAGGTACAGCTTTAGTGTTATAATAATTTTTTAATAAAATATACTGTTTTATCAAAAATATTTATACATTCTGTTATAATATATTGCTTTTGCCCTCAATAACTGCCAATATAAAATCTGGATCCAGTGGCCTAAAATATACAAATGCACTTAATATAAATGCTGGAGTTTGAGGTGTCTGCTTGGCCACTGTATAAAAGTGATGAAGTGGTGAAATTAAATAAAAAGCCTACATTACAGAATACATTACACCTTTCACATATACATGTTCACAGCATGTATACAATGATAACCCCTATGATTTAACAAAGATACAGTTCGCTTCTACAGCAGACAGAAGAACAAATGAACTAGGTTGATAAATGTAAAATACATATCAAAAAAGGGACGATCAGCTCACTGACTCTGGAAGATGACTGAGCACACTGGGTGTCTAGACTTCGGGAATGCATATAGGTAACACAGTATCTTGGTTCAGGCTGATTAGAAGTCCTCAGGCTTAACATCTGAAGTAAATGCTGATGTTCCTATTTCAGCATTAATAAACAAATTGTTTGGCAAATAGCTCCGCTGGAAAGCTATGAGGTTCTGTTACATGGTTGGTAAAGATAAGGCAATAAAGTTTTCTTCAGATAAATACAGAAAATTTATAAAAGAAGACATCGATTCATTGTATTTTTTAAAAAAATCAAGCCACCAAAGGTGTATAAAATGCCACTACATTTTTTGATATTATAGTCATTTCTTTAAAAAATAAGAGCAGTTGCCTTAGTCAAACAGAATCATAGTTTATGTGAAAAGTAATAGCATTCCAAGCTCTAGTTTTCTGCTTTTGTGAAACATAGTTAAATGATTAATTTTCCTTCCATTTAAGGCAGGCATTATGACAAAGACAGGGACGATAAAAGAGTGGTTCTTTTTCTTGTTATTTAAAAAAAAAACCCCAAAACTATTGATCCAAAAGTATTCCTTTGGGATGGGTTTTCATGGCCAATGTTCATTCAGCCTAAACTCCATGAGACTGTTTCCAGTGCTCAAATTTACGTTCAAAAACATTGAGAAGTGGGCTGGGGATTTAGCTCAGTGGTTCTAGTGCCTGCCTTGCAAGTACAAGGACCTGAGTTCGATCCCTGGTACCAAAACAAAACAAAACAAAACACTGAGAAGCCACTTTTCAAGAAGGTATTAAAATAGAGTACTTCTGCCGGGGATTTAGCTCAGTGGCACCACACCTGCCTTGCAAGTGCAAGGTCCTAAGTTCAAGCCCTGGTACCAAAGATAAAATAAGAGTACTTTTTTAGAGAAATCTTCATGTGTTAAAAAAAAAAAACTCAGAAGCTATTGGTGGCACAGAGAGCAAATGAAGAATTGCTATTTTTAAGAGGTCTTCTTGTGAGTCGGTCTGCTCGGTTTCACAGTTATCTAGTACATTAACACCAATCAGCGATGTAGTCAAAGTCTCTGAACATTTCTTGCTCCTCTTCGGAAAGTATCCTTGGTTCTCGAGGTGGAGTCAGAATAGGTGCTTCTGAGGTAAATTCATCATCAAAATTACTAACATCCTCCCGTCCTCTAATGGTAGGGACAAATGGTGGCTTTACTTTTTTGTCCATCAAAGCACTCCAATCAATTAGCTGAATCACAAAATATAAAACGACCTGGTTAGTTTCCTACTCCTAAATGCTCTAGTTTCATTAAAAACAAAAAAATCCTCTGAACTTTATCATACCTACCCGGAAAAATGGATGCTTCTTTACGTCCTCTGCGTCTTTCTCGCCAGCTCCAAGGCGTCGCTCAGGATTTCTTCTTAACAGCTGATGCAACATCAAGTCAAAAAGTGAAAACCAATAAAAAAAAACTTCACTGATAACATTCTCATAACTTTCAAAGATTTAACTGGCTTGTAAGATTTATATAAAGTACACAACATTTATGAACTAAAACAACTTCTGAAGTTCTGAAGGGAAATTTCTTTCAATATAAAAAAATTTAAGCAATATTTTAGAAAAAAATTCTTACCCTTCTCATTATGGAAATGGCCTCTGTCGATAAGAACCTTGGGTACCTTACTTCATCATTTACAATACTGTCAAAAACCTCCTCTTCATCATCACCAGGAAAGGGAGACTAAAAGAAAGTTTCAATATAGTAAAGTCTTATCATCTATTCAAAGTACAACCAAGATTCAGGCAGTAAAAAAGAAAAAAAAACCCAAAATGACAACCAAACCTACACACAAACAAGAACTATAAGAAGTTACAATAATTATATATCTATTACCCAGAGGACAAACTATATCTTGAAATCTGTATTTTAGAGATCCCACAAAAACTTGTGAAATCAAGTTATATCATTTTTCACTTAATTCCATTGTATTCCACCCCATTTTATTTCATTCACTTATTCATCCATCTGGAGAGTCAATATTCAAGATTGTGTACTGGGCAGTGGGGAATATTTAACAGACACAATTTTCAGAAAGTTCAATCTTGTGGAGAGATAGAAGAAAATGGGTAATGTAAATAGGGCAAGTGTTTTGAAAGAGAAAAGCAGAGTCTGGGGAGAAACATCAGATATAAATGTGCTTTGGATTTCAAAATCAACAGCAAATTAATCATGGCAAAAACACAATTAGAGAGCCAGGAGTGGTGATACACACCCACACCTGTAATCCCAGCACTTGGGAGGCTAAAGAAATAGGATTGCCATGAGTTTGAGGTCAGCTGGAGCTACATAGTGAGTTCAAGGACATCCTGAACTAAATAGCAGGATACTGTCTCAAAAAACCAAGAAGGAAAGAAAAAACACACGCATGCACACACAATTAGAGATTAGTAGTGTATAATGACTGCATTAAGAAGCAGCTACTAGCAAAATTAAACTGAAAGGAACTAAAAAAGCATACACTACCAGGCAAATTTAATGTTTCAAAAACAATAGACAGGACACATCAGTAAGCACAATATAAAAATCATTGCTTATAATGACCTTGAAAAAAGTAGTTGCCTTTGTGTTCACTATGACAGTTTGATGCACAAAAGGATAAATAGTTCTCAACAATGCTGACTACTTAGCTATCAAGTATGATTTATTGTCTGAATTTCAGATGGCTTAGAGTTTACTCAGCAATTTTCAAAATCAAAAAACAAAAAACAGAAGAAAACAAAAAGCTGGGCGTGGTGGTGCACGCCTGTAATTCCAGCAGTCAGTAGGCTGAGCCAAGGAGGACTGTTATGATTTTGAGGCCAATCTGGCCTCCACAGTGAGTTCAAGACCATCCTGAACTATAAGGTGAGACTGTTTTAAAAAAGTAATTTTCAAAATCAATAAATGTCTCAATATCATTTTTTCTAAGTATTATTTAATATCTATAAAATCACCAAAACAAGTCAGTATTTTTAACTCCATTTTCTGAATGGAGAAATATAATCTTACTTAGCCTTATTAGGTTGAATTTGGCTGCTTGCTTCCTGCAAAGTAAGAATGAAAGTCAAGCAGTATTAACAGAAAGGGAGGAATCTTTAATCTGAATAATCCGTGAGAATGAATTCAGAACCCAATTCCCTAAGGCTGAGCTGTCAATCTTATTGTTCATAACTACGAACATTTCAAACCTTTTAGTTTCCAAAACCTTAGCTTATTCATTCGCTCATTCAAAATACATAACTCAAATATTTACTATGTGGGACAATCTCATTTCTTTCAGGAATTGAAAAAGCAAGTCAAGAGAAAATTCTATTTCACAAGGCTTCTCAATCAGAATTTCAAGTGGAAATACAGATGAGCTATTTTGTCCTCTGCTTCAACAATTCTGTACTTGAAAGCTGTCACTCAACAGCAAAGAAACATCTACATATCTGTTAAAATGTTCGAGTATCTTGTGTCTAACAGGGCTATCAACTGAAGCTACCAGGTGAGTTTTATACACATAAGATCCAGTAGTTTGTTCAGATCTCAACTTTATAGCACCCAACACCAGTGTCCAACATTACTTTAAACCTCTTTGGCACATTCATTCTCATTTGGCACAGGAAAAAGAGGACCTGAGAGTTTATTCCTGGAGTCTTTCCAGTCCCCTAAACCAGCAGTCCCCTAAACTATACAAATCTGAAGATACTTGATATAATCAGTGAATTTTCAATTATTTACAATAGCACAGAACAGACACAAATTTTAGTTGGGCCACACTTTTATCACAGTTTAAAAAACAGTTATCACTAAAGTTTCACTAAGGGTATACAATTAAGAAGTAGGCTGATATGTATGAAGTTTAATTCTTTTCCTATTTACCCTCTTGTGGAATGTACTAAAGAGAAATGAAATTACAAAAAGCAACTGGGAAGGAATAGCTAGATCCATTATTCTAGATAATTAAGAGCTCTATCAACTAGAAACTCTGAAAAACTGTGAAACAGAAGTTTCCGCCCTTGTTCTCTGCCAAACCCTACAGTGCCTATTACATTGGAGAAAACAGAATCATCAGGCTATTAATTCTACAGCATCTTGCAATAAACTCACATTTTCGCATGTCATCTCAAATGTGGAAAATAAATTCTAAGCAAGTACATAGTTTCTGGTCACTTAACTAAATTTCGTACTTACTTGACTACACTTAAAGCAACAAAAATGTTACTTCTTAAAAAAAGGCAGGGAGAGTTGGGAATGGTGGCATGTGTTTATAATTTCAGCATTCTGGGATGCTGAGGCAGGAGGACTGTAAGTTTGAGCCCAGCTTGGGCAACTTAGCAACTTAGTGGGACCCTTTCACAAAATAAAAAATTTTAAAAAGGGCTGGGATATAGACCAGTGGGAATGTCCGAGGTTCAATCACCAGTACCACAAAATAAAAATAAACAGGCAGAGAGATGGGAAAGGGGATAGAGTCCAAGTATACCACAACCCACAGAAATAACTATTATGAGTCTTCTGCACCGTTAGAAAAACCACTGTGGATTGGGGCTAAAAGGAATCTTTCCATCCTAGATACCTAAAAAGAGGTGAATAATCAGGTCTGGACCACTGGTCTTGAGAATAAAAACAAGGCTAGATGAATTTCATACCCTATCCTGAAGCAGCAAATCATAAAGGTCTACAGTTAGGCTGCGAAGCCAGAGTGCTGACAGAGTTAAAAATCTCACCAACACCACAAAAGCGTCTTTAAGGAAATTATTAGACTCCACTTACGCATCTGAAAATGGGCAGAAGACTAGTTAGTATGGAGCTTATAAAAGGGTGCTGAAAAACTAGACAAGTTAATATTTTACAAGAATAGTGCCTAGGACATGATTAATGCCATCCATTGTTGTAACTCGCCATTTCTTCCACTCCTTGCCCAGAGACTGCACTCTGATTCGACATACCAAAAGGGGCTGTCTTCGGACAAATGAAAATCATTTGTGTGGGTTAAGTGCCAGCAAGTGACAAGCACAAACAAAAACTTAGAAATTTTGAAATTCAAGAATTTGTTTATTCTCTCAGCTACAATTCATACCTTTGAATGTACCTATTTATACCTTGAATGTACAAGAAAGGCTGTTGGCAATAGAAAAAGTACAAAATAAAAAAATCAATTCTATAAAAACATTTTTCTTGCATTTCCAGATCAAGTCCCTCTAAAAGTAGTTTTTAATCACTTGTTGAAAAAGTTACTTTTCAAATTCTGCCTCTATTTATTATTCCTAACAATTTATAACACAATACATCAGGCTCTTATACTATAGTTCCCTTTCTTAAATGGTAAAAATTTTTATATACAACTCAGTTTTCCTCAAACTTATTTAAATTAATCTACAAAAGACAGAGGGTGAGCCAGGTGTGGTGGTGCACACCTGTAATCCCAGCACTTGAGAGGCTGAGGCAGGAGGATTGCAGCAAGTTTGAGGCCAGCCTGGACCACAAGATTAGTTCAAGGCCACCCTGAACTAGGTATCAAGACCCTGTCTAAAAAAACCCAAACCAAAACAACAAAAAAACCCACCACCACCACCACCAACAACAATAAAGGAAATGTTAAAACTTTTCAACAGTTTTTGAAGGTAACATTCATTTTTGATTGCTGTATAGCTGACTTGCCTTTATGAGTACAGAGTATATTCTTTTTATTAGCTTCCAGTTATTTTCTTTCCTATGAAATGATCAGTTTTATGATTATGACTTATTATCATAAAACACAGCCATAACACAATACCTATTTTCAAGGCACTGATAATGCATTCTATAGATCACATAGAATCCAAAATAAACTACTGGTGGAATTATAGAAACATAGCCAATTATTAACATACTAAAAATATATATAAATTTTCAAATTCTACTTATACAGAAGATACATTAGGAGGTGATATAAATGACCTGCTTGTTCTTTCAATAATCTTTCCTCTTCCCTCTTACCCATTTCCCACTGCTTACCTCACCAACGAGCATTTCATATATAAGCACTCCAAGGCCCCACCAATCTACAGCCCTTGTATACGATGTTTCTGTTAATACTTCTGGGGCAAGAAATTCAGGAGTGCCACAAAAGGTGCTTGTTCTATCTCCATATCCCATTCCTGAAAAAGAGAAAATTTAAATTATTGTTGGCGAAAAAAAAGACAGCATAAAAATCAGAAGAGATCCTTAGGAAGCAAAATTAAAATTGTGTTCATGGCAATCAAACTCAGATACACTAGATTTTTTTATAAAAAAAATGGTATGGATTAGTATAGAAGAAACTATGGAAACAATGGGCTAGGGCAGATTTTGAGAAACAAAAGTATTGAAATTAATAGTGTCCAATACAGAGAAGTCTCAATAGAGAAAAAACTTCTACTGGGTTCGTCAGTTAGGAGGCTGGTAGACATATGATACAAATATATTTTCAAAGTTCATTCATTTGTCCAACTATTTATTAATCAAATATTCACTGAATACTTAAGATGCACCAAGAACCATTTTCTGTGCTATGAAAACAAAGGTGAATAAGAAACAAGAAGCTACTAGTGTAGAAAAGGAGACAGTTAATGTTAATTACAGTATATTAAATGTACAGGTAAGAATATCTATGTATAACATGTATGCCTCATACTCTAACAGCACTTCTATGGATTTAACAGTTGAGGACAGACTCAAAGCGGTGAAAAAGAAGTTTGCAAAGACACACAGCCTTAGGATTACCTGGTACCCAAAACCATGATTTCTATGTTTTCTTCTTTTTTTTTGAGATGGGGTGTTACTGTGGCTGGCCTCAAACTCCTGTTTCAGTCTCCTGAATACTAGGATTACAGGTGTGTACCACCATTCCTGGCTTCTTTATGTTTTCTTAAGTGAATTCTAAATCAAATTTCCCCGGTTTACTTATTTTTTGTTTTGTTTTGTTTTTGGTACCAGAGATCGAACTCGGGTCCTTGTGCTTGCTAGGCAGGCAGCAGAACCACTGAGCTAAATCCCTGGCCCTACTTGTTTACTTTTAAACATAAAAGGTGACTTTTTTTTTTTTTTGGTACTGGGGATAGAACTCGGGTCCTTGTGCTTTTGAGGGAAGCAGCAGAACCACTGAGCTAAATCCCCGGCCTTACTTTTAAACATAGAGAAAACATTCTTGAGGTAGCCATATAGTCTTATGCATTTTTCCTGTTTAAAATATTTTCTCTTGGTACCGGGGATCTAACTCGGGTCTGTGCTTGCAGGGCAGGTGGTGGAACCACTGAGCTAAATCCCCGGCCCTCTTATTTAAAATATTAATAGTTCTAAGAAGTTTTGGGCCAGGGATTTAGCTCAGTGGTTTCGCTGCCTGCTGCGCAAGTGCAAGGACCCAAGTTTGATCCCCGGTACCAAAAGAAAAAAAAAAAAAAAAAAAAAAAAAAAGGAGTTTAGAGAAGTTATTAGACCTATATAATCACTCTGCCCAGAAATTCAACAATTTGGTGCTTAATACTTCCTTGAAATAATGATAGAAGTATAATAAAAAGAGAATCTTAGTCTTATACTGAGATTTCTGAAATCCTAACTTCTATGTATCCACAGAACAAATTCTTTTTTTTTACAGAATAAATTCTTAATGTGATAAACAGGTTATATGAATAATCTGAAATGTCTTAATGAATAAATTTAAAAATATTTTTCCACAGATAAACTTATAAAACTACCAAATTACAAAGGAATACATTAGAAAAGAAGCTTAAAAACCCAATTACCTTCTTTGCAAAGACCAAAATCAGCAATTTTCACAAAGCCTTCTGTGTCTAGTAATAAGTTATCCAATTTCAAATCTCTGCTCAGGATGAAAAAATGAAAAACAAAAAAACCAGTAGATAAGATAGTAAAGAAATCAGTTCAATGGGAGCCCTACTTTCTCTTTTCTACAAACAGGTTTTCCAAGTTACACTTTGAGATTTAAATGCTTTATCACAAACATATATTTTTTTTCTGTTATCAATTTTATTGCTCTATATAATGGTCTCTAAGCTTTTCCTTCTCTTACATAGAAAAGGAAGAACATATTTTAAAAGAAGTATTTTCTTTTTAGATATACATATATTTTAATCTGACTTAGTCCAAGTGTGAAGTCTGCCTTTACACTATCATGAGAATTACATTAATGATAAAAATAAAGTACCAGGAGGTAGAGTTAATCTTGTAAGAGAATGATTCAAAACAGTAAAAAAGTTAATTGATTACAAATTAAGCCAGTCGAAAACATTTTATTATTTAAGTAAAATACAATCATGAGGAAATGCTTACCCTGAAAGCACTGTTACAAGTTTGAATAAATCAGTGCTTATGGTCTAATTCTTAAGATTTCCCATAATTTTCTTGGTTTTGAGCAGTGTTATTTAATCTAATAATCTGTCTAGTATACAGCAGTGCTATTCAAAGTGTGGCCCAGAGACTAGCTGCTGGGATATGAACTATTTGTTAGTGGTCTGTAATTTGATAAGGAGCATGTACTTAAACAAAAATTGATTGTCGCCCACACACTGTTTAATTCGGATGACAGCAAGAACTTCTTTTTTTTGGTGATACGGGAGGTAAAACCACATTCTACTACTACCACTCGGCTCTACCCCTGGACTTTATCCCTAGCCTCTGAAACTTCTTAATAAAGAAAGCCTCTGGAAGAAGCTACTGTACTTATCACGGGCACACGATATAAGCAGTATTGATCTACAGAGGTTTTCTACAGAAGCTTAGTTGAATGCAAAATGTTCACTAGGATGAACGTTGTTTGGCGAACTGTGTCGTAATAGGCCAATTCATAATTTCACTATTTTAATTAGGAAATGGCAAAGGATATGGAACCAAGAAGTTTATCATGTAATTTTTGTAATGATTATATATCTTTCAAATTAGAGTTTGACTTATCACATGAAGGAGAAAATTAAGAAGCTGGCTAAACAAAATATCCTTAATTATCTGTAATTCTAATTCAAACCAAAGTTAAGTGTTAGGAAGAAAAATTTTACTTACCTATAAACAATTTTGTGTTCATGTAAATATTGCAACCCAAGAACTACACATGCAGCATAAAATCTGTTTGGAAAATTAAACCAAAAGTAAGTTTATAGGAATTTATTTAGTCCGTACTATGTACAACACATTAAACTAGATATAAAGGGTGAAATTAAAAAATGAAAAAGTATAGTCTTGACAATGGAAGCCATTAATTTTGCCTGGTACAGTCATTATGGACCTCAGAGAGGACATCTGATCTAGTTCTGAAGGATTATAATGTATCACAAGGATAAAAAGGACAGAGTGACAAGTTTTTGTGGTGGGAAAGACGGTATAGGGAACTCCTGAGTAGAGGTGTGAAAAGCACAACATATTTGACAACTAATAATGAGTTTCATGTGGTTAAAATAAAGGATGCGTATATGTAGAGAAGAAGTGGGACATTAAGTTCAAGAGACAGCCTGGACAAAGGATCTTGAATGTCATATTGCGGATACTGAAATTTGTTCTCTGTGATAGAGAAATAAACCATCTTAATCAGATGACAATGATCACATTTACATTAGGGAATTTTTCTTGAGAGCAGTGTGAAGGTTGGAGCAGATGTATATAGAGATGCAGAGAGAAAAAGACACAAGACTTTTATAATAGCAGAGATGAATGATAACAATAATATCCACTCTAGTGGTAACAAATGAATAGATGGATTCAAGAGAAATTTTAAAAAATGAGCAAAACTGGACATGGTATTTCATAGCCATATAGGATGAAACTGTGGGAAGAATGAAAGATAACAAGCTTTCATCTTAGTGAAATGAACAGATAAAGAAATACAAAAGTTGTCAAAGTTTCATGGGGAAAATAAATTTGGCTTAGGTATTTTGGCTTTGAATTCGCTGTAGGGAAGGTGCTAACATCTAAAAGTTTGATATATAGATTTGGAGCTCTGGAAAATTTGGGCCTAACTAGGATGTTAACTTTTTTGGGGGGGGTGGTAGCAGTACTGGGGATTTAACCCAGGGCCTTTTCATTGAGAAACATCTGTAGCTCATTTTTACATTTTGTTTGAGACAAAGTTTTCCTAAGTCACTTAGTTGCCTAAGGCTGAGCTCAGAATTGCAATTTTACCTCAGTCTCCCTGAGAGCTGGGATTATAGGTGTGTACCACCACACCCAGCTTAGAATATCAACTCTCCAGGCATGGGGTCATATTTGCCTTTTTCAGTTATCACAAATGCATAATATAATGCCTGAAATATGACAACTTATTGAATGAGGAGAAAGAGAATAAATGAATACATTTTAAAATATAAATCTATAAACAGACACTTAGTAAAACTAGTTCTTAGTAATACAGTATTTTCTCTATAAAATACATATAATGCTCACTTCCTCTAAAATAGAACATTTCAGTCATCTATCCCTCTATCTCACCCCAACTTTACATCCATCCTTAAGAGATAAATACCCCTGTGAGTTTGACGAGTGTTCTTTCAAACTTTTAGAAGACATGAATATTCACATGTAAATACGTTTTGCTTTTATTTTTTAGGTTTCTGGTACCAGGATCGAACTCAGGACCTTGCGCTTGTGAGGCAGGCGGCAGAACCACTGAGCTACATCCCCAGCCCAATGTTTTGCTTTTATTTTATAAAAATGATACCATAATTTAAATGAATTAAAAAACCTAACTATTTAGAAATGTGTTTGTTATACATGAGAACCAACATAACATCTATTTTATTTTGACTCGTATTATTTTTGTATTTTTGATACAGCCTCTTTCTATATATAGTTCAGGCTGGCCTTGAACTCACTATGTAGCCCAGGTTGGACTCAAACTTGCAGCAATCCTCTTACCTCAGCCTCCTGAAAGCTGGGATTATAGCCATGAGCTACTATGACTGGCAACTTACCAGTTAAAGGAATTATATAAAGTTTGTTAAAATAAACATGATTATAAAATTGCTCAAGATAGTTATTTTTAAACAATTTTCGGTGGCAAAAAATACTGTAACAATTATAAAAATATTTTGACTTCTCTCTTTGTAAACAGGTCATCCTGATATATTGAAGAAGTAATTAGGTATATTGTCTAACATATATATTTCACCAAATGCCTACTATGTGTCAGGTATTTTCATTCATCAGCTTAATCTTCAAATTAAGTCTAAAGATAAGTACTTTACAGAACAGAAAGTAAAGTCACACAGTTAGAAAACTAACAAGGCCAGGAAATGAACTATTTGATGATTCCATACTTTCAGTCAATACCAATCTAGACTGCTTTAGATGTGCCAGGCACTCTTCCAGTGTCCCCTGGTGAACAGGCAGGGGTAGTGCCTGCCCCTTCCTTTGAGTGAGGGGGTCAGATGATAAAAACATTAAAAATAAGCCGGTAGTGGTAGTGCATACCTGTAATCCCAACACTTGGGAGGCTGAGGCAGGATGATCACCATGAGTTCGAGGCTGGCCTGGGCTACATAGTGAATTCAGGGCCAGCCTGAACTACAAAGGGAGACCCTGCCTCAAAAGCCTAAATAAATAAATAAATACATAAGGTGACTAGGTAGAAATAAAACAGTATAAAAATAAAATAGGAAATAGGAGTGATCTGTTTGTTTGTTCATTTATTTATTGGTATCGGAGATCGAACTCAGGACCTTGCAATTGTGGGGCAGGCAGCGGCACTACTGAGCTAAATCCCCAGCCCTGTGATGTAGTATTTTTTAGACAGAGTACTCAGGAGAACTCCTTTAATGAAAGGACATTTAAGCTGGGACCTTAGTGATTAGAGGGAGTACTTTAGATCTGGAGTATTACAATATAGCATTTTATGTTTACACTTCAGTGGGCTTGTTTCATTTATGTATAATTTATATCCTCAACAAAAAAAATAGTTCCTTAAGGCAGAACTATATTTTATTTCCTGAAAAAACAAAAACAAACATAGCAAAATAAAAATAAATTCCCAATGGCAATTAGATCAAGTACCCTCCTTTAGTTTTTTAAATATTCAGGGAATTAGCAGTAGCTTTCTATTACTTTCTGATTTTCCTCTTTTTGGAATGCTTCACAACCCATCAGAACCAATCCCTATTTTTTCATCTGAAACTTGAAGGCTGTAACAGTACTATTACTGGCCATTCTACAGACCTCTAATAGTTATGATAAAAGTCCAATAAAGGTGTAAAAGTATGACACAAAGGTAAGTTGCTACTTCATCAGAAGATAAAATTCATGAGTAGAACCAATAAAGGTACTACTGAGTTTATGTTTTTTGTGATCTGGGTATATTCTGGAGATAAGAGTTGAGTTGACCAAAGTTGTTTATGGTGTGGATGTTGTAGATGAGGGAAAAAGAGTGTCAAGAATGACTCCCTGGGGCTGGGGATTTAGCTAAGTGTCGTCCATGCCTTCCTGACAAGCACAAGGTTCCAAGTTCAATCCCCGTACCCGGGAAGGAAAAAAAAAAAAAAAGAATGACTCCTTGGACAAGAAAGAGCGGGGGCACTAGTATGTCTGCAATCTCTGCTACAAAGGCCAACCTATATACTTAGAACGCTGTTCCAAAACAAAGATAAAAAAGGACGGGGATTTAGCTCAGTGCTTCTGCCTCCTGCCTTGCAAGCACAAGGTCCCGAGTTCAATCCCAGGTACCAAAAAAAAAGGATGGGGATGTTGCTCAGTGTTCTGGGTTCAATCCTTGGTTTAAGCAAACAAAACAAAATGAAACTCCCTGAATTCTGTCTTTAACAATAGGTAAATGCTACTGCTGTTAATCAACATGAGGAAGATTAGAAGAGTAGCAGGTCTGGGGAATAGTAGGTAAGGTAGAAAGGAGAATAGGAAAAATGAGGAGTTCAGTTTGTGATATTAAGTGAGACATTTATCAGTGTTACAAATGGAAAAGCTGGCCTTGATCTGAATATTACTAGAGCTACAGGGTTAGGGGAGAGGTCAGGACTGTAAACATAAATTTGCTATCAGCATTTAGAGTTGTAGCTGTTAAAATCAGGATAATAGAGGAAATAAATATACAAACTGTAAATGCACATATAATCTAAATTATTTATTACTGATTTTTATGTAATAATTATGCTTTGAATAAGCAGAATTTTAATACTCTACTGAAATAAACTATAACAATGGTTTACACTGAAAAGCCATAAATACTGGAGGCAATATGTACACAGGTTGAGCATCCCTAAACCGAAAATTTCAAATCTGACATGTTTCAAAATCTGAAATTTTTGAGCACCAATACAACACTGAAAAGTTTTGGATTTTGGAGCATTTCAGATATTTGGATTAGGGAGACTCAACTATATAAATATTTCAAAATCTGAAAAAACCCCAATCTAAAACACTACTGGTCCCAAGTATTTCAGACAGAGATACTCAAACTATACATTTCCTTTATATTTGTTCAGAGATTTTATAAGTTCAAGCAAGCAAGTACTTGACATATGTACGTACTTGATGATATATATGATGTGTATATATATATATACATATACATACAATCTTTTATATTACCCTATAAAAATAGAAATATTTTATACAAGTACATTATGCAGACTCCTCTGTACTTTTTTTTAAAACTTAAAGTGAGACACATTGAGTAAAATGTGTCTTTTTTGTTGTTTGCTTTTTTGAGATAAGGTCTCCATCATGTAGTGGAGGCTGGCCTTGAACTCACTATGTAGTCCAGGCTGGCCTCAAACTCAAGGTGATCTTCCTGTGTTCCAAGTGCTGGGATTACAGGTGTGTACCATGCCTGGCGAACAATTTGTTGTTAAAATCACGGCCCTGGATGTCATTTCCTAGGGAGAAAATCTGATAGAAAAAAAAAGTGCTAAAATAAACCTAGGTTGAGTATCTAAATCCATGAAATTTCAAACATAATGTTGTCAAATGGACAACATAATAAATAAATACAAAAAGTATCTAGCAAAAGAAGTAAGGAATTCTTTTTTTTTTTTTGGTACCGGGGATTGAACTCAGGTACTTGTGCTTGCACAGCAGGTGGCGAAACCACTGAACTAAATCCCCAGCCCTAGGAATTCTAGTATTTCTTATAATGATCTATTTTCCATTAGGAAAAAAAATTCTAAAATTCAGTGAGCTCTTTTTCTTCCCAACAAGAAATCAGTCATGGAAAAACACAGACAAATGTCTAAAGCATACTCACACAGCTCTTGGTTCAGAAAAGACATCAGTATGAATGTGCATCATTAGGTCCCCACCGGCAGCATATTCCATTACAAAGCAAACATGCTCTTTGGTTTGGAAACATGCAAAAAGGTTCACCAAAAAGGGATGCCTTACACTATTCACAGTTTCAAAAATTCTTTTTTCACACATCAGGCTGTAAGAGAAAACATTTAAAAATGAATAGAGCCTTTAAAAAATTTTAGTGGGAAATAACTTTTTTTTGGTTTCAAATGAATTCATTAAATGTATACAATGAAAATTCCTCTTTCTATTTTAGGTTCTCAAACATCCATATGTTCTCTTCAGACACAAATAAGAACTTTTCTAAGTATTTACAGCAGTTTATAACTCAAATAACATTTTGAAGTGACAAAGAGCTTAATTCAGCTGTAGCATAATGCACAAGGAAAAAAACCATAAGCAGTAAGTTTTAAAATTCTTAATATCTGTGCCAAACAAATGGTAAATAACATTCTTTACAAATTACTAAAACTTAAATTCTTTATAACTTTGAAAATAATGAAATATCTTTTGCTATATGTGCTATGAAAACTGTTCTACTATGTATGTAATTGAAATATATTAATGAAAACTACAATATAACTTGTATGACAGAAAGACTATAGTGTTCACATTGACAGTATCAGAGTGACACACATATGATTATTGGTTACAGTTAATCTATATTTTTTGAGACAGTTCTGTATTCCAGGCTGGCCTTGAACTCATGGCAATCCTCCAGCCTCAGCCTCACAAGCAATAAGATTACAGGCATGTGCCACTATGCCCTGTTGGTTATATAGTAAACTTTTAAAAGGTTTAATTAGAGGTGAATTATGAGAGTTCACCAGAAATTAGAGAATTTAGTAACCTGAAATATGGCAAAAATTTAAAGTTTGTGACCAAGGTAATTTCAGGTAATGTATATACAATCCATAAACTATATATTCAAATTATCATATAAAATATGAAATAGAGAAGCACAAAAATTTATGAAAAAAATGGAAAATAAAGAGGCTATTTAGAGAATTCTACAACTTGCCTCAACAAAGTTCCTTAAACAATGTAATTTTTCTGTATCATAGAAAAAAAAATCTATGTAATCACAAATTTCTCCTGTAAGAACTAAGACAAGTTATTAAAAAGAAGAGTGGTCAAACTTACTAATATGAAATGTTAACTGCCTAAATAGCAAAACCAAAGAAAGAAAAAACATCTTTCTTTAAAAAATATTTACATTAATTTGATTTAAATCTCAAAGTAAAAGAAAATTAGGTCAAATGTACTACCAGTAAACCTGAGACCAAAAATTGACATTAATATTTGTTTTTCAAAAGATTTGTTTAATGCTTTATTTAGTTGGTTTTTTTTGAGACAGGGTCTTGCTATGTATGTAGCTCAGACTGGCCTTGAACTCACAATAATCTTCCTGTCTCAGCCTCCCAATTGCTGGGATTACAGGCGAGTGCCACCATGCCTGGCTACTACTTTTATCTTTTAGTTTCTACTTTCTGGTGATAAGAACCCAGGGTGGCCTTTGCACTGAGCTACATTCCTAGCCCTTTTTCTAATTTTTTAAGATTCCACTAAACTGCTAATTCCCCAGGCTAGGCTTGAATTGGATTCTCTGGTCTTAAATTCCCAGAGTGGTGAGATTATAGGCATGCACCACCATGTTCAATGGTTTTATTTTAAATTTAAAACAACACTTAGGAATTATTTCTTTGTTGTTCTAAATAACATTGTGGCATTTCAAAATGCAAACTAAAACCCTGGCATTATAGAGAAGCAGAGCCATTCTCCTTTGTTTTGGGTCTTTAAAGAAAGAGTGAATTAGCCAGACAGTGGCACTCACCTGTAATCCAGCATTCTGGGAGGCTGAGGCAAGAGGCTTGAAAGTTTCAGGCCAGCCTAGGCAACTCAGTGAGTTGGGGAGACTTTGTCTCAAAATAAAAAATAAAAAAGGGCTGGGGATGTGTGTCAGGGAGAGGGCCTTGGGTTCAATCCCCTGTGCCACCAAAATAAATAAATACATAAATAAATGAGTAATAAATAAAATAAAAATTTAAAGTTAATTAAAAAAAATCAAAACATTTATCTAGCTTACATTGCTAACAACATAAAAAAAGTAAAGATTTAGAAAACATGTAAGAATTATACCTGCTGTATGGCATTTTTAATGCTTTGCTAATATAGTTGTCTACTGGATTATAAACTAAAACAACTCCTTCGTTTTAAATACTAACAATAAATCCAGCTATCAAGACAGTGCTCTTAAACAGTATCACATTCTAGATGAACTCCTACCCTTTGATTTCACACAATCTGTTTTCAGTTTTACATATACTCAAAAAGCCACACAGTTTCTTAAGTTTTAGGCTTGTGTTTACATAATTTCTTAAATCTGAAAAGTTTTAAGATGTTACTACAAATTAAGGCATTAAATCCATAAAAAATTTTAAAATGAGTTAATAGCTTTGATTTTTGTCACTATCTAAACTTACTGGAAAATGTCCTAAAAATTGCCTTGGGTAAGATTTATAAGAAGGACTCTAAAATTTCTGTTTAAATTTAAGAAAATAAGGCAAAACTGATGGGCTATTTTAGGGTCAAGCAGATGACAAGTCTCTTCACTGTGATTTATATTTATGAGTGAATCAGTAATCTGTTATGGGTTAATTTATGGGTGAATCGTAATTCTCAACTAGATAAGTAACCCTCCCTGGATAGGTTAGACCTATGCTGACCATGTAAAAGGTATAAAAGATTGAGAATCATTGGTAAAACTACCCTGAAAATGGTTTTTATGCCATCTACAGGAATTCTTTGACAATGACAATGACAATGACAAGGACCTGATAATGTCTTACATAAAGGAAGAAGGCTCCTCTCATCTCCCTTTTTCTTTGGTGGTGGCGGAGATTGAACTCAGGGCCTTTTAAACTAAGCTACATTGTCAGCTTTACTTATTTATTTTTGAGACAGTCTCATTAAGTCACTAAGTTGCCCAGGCTGGGCTCCAAGTTTTGATCCTCCTGCATCAGCCTTCTAAAGTGCTGGGATTACAGGTATGAGTCATTCCAACTGGCTGGAGGAATTTTAAACACAATTTTAAGCATTTTCCAGAAAACTAAAAAGCTACTGCCTAAGAATCTTTAGCTTGTCCCAATGTTACCTAAATTGCATACTCTTTCCTTAAAAGTTCACACAACAAAAGGTACAAGGTCCCGATGATGAATGTAACTGTATTCTATACCTAAAATGTACCAATAAACTTCATGAAAAAAAGTTCACATAACAATCCAACGTTGATATTCAAAACTGTAAATATATCTTCCATATGCCAAAGAACAGCATAGATCCAATCTTATAAAACACTACTGAAATCCATCAGTACCATGATATCCTCCATTCTATGAGGTGCTATTGTCTTTATCATCTTTTTTTTTTTTTTCTTGGGTACCAGGGATTGAACTCAGGACCTTGTGCTTGTGAGGCAGGCAGTGGAACCACTGAGCTAAATCCCAGGCCCTCTATCATTTATTTATTTTTATTAAAAAAAAATTTTTTTTTGGTACCAGGGATTGAACTCAGGTCCTTGTGCTTGTGCAGCAGGCGGCAAAACCACTGAGCTAACCCCCCGGGCCCCTCTATCATTTATTTTTAACTCAAAAAAATCTAGCCTATTTTATTTACATAATTAATGTAGCTATGACTTGTTTCCTTAAATGACCATTTCATTTGAGCAGTTCTGCTCCAGAGTTCAGTAAATTATTAGATATGGTGGAAACAAATATTTCGGTCAGTGGAAAACAGCATCATTAATAAAGCTAAAGTCTTATGATTGAATCGAATAAGCTGGTCAGCTGTGCTTTGTGCTATAATACAAAAATATACTTCCAACCCTATTCCGTAGTGTTGAACATGAACTGGTTAAGACAGCAAGCTGAGTGAAGACTATAGTAATGCAAATGGCAGGAGACGGAACTTGGACAGTGTTTAACCAACAATAGGCAGACTGAGATCTCTGCACATAAATTACTTTGGATTTATGTTCATTTAAAATGAGGTTGTCAGAATATTCTACAATCTATGCAACGTGCAGTTTTCTGCTTATTTTTAATTAATTTGGTTTGATTTCTTATTCATACTTGGAAGTAATACTACTTTAAATATATGCTGGTCTATTTTTAAAATTTGAATTTTTTTTTGCTTTCCTCTTAGATATGCTACCTTCTTCATCCTTCCTCAAATTTTTGTTTTATTTCTTACTCCTAAAACTTTCCATTTTTCAATTTTGTACCAGTTTTGAGATTATGTCCATGTTACTAAAAAATACAAAGGTTTAAAACTAAAGTTAAATAAGGGTCATTCATTAAGGCTGGATTTATTTTCAGTCAGGGTAATGGCCTACATTCTAGCTAAAGCTCCAGCCTCTATACTTTATTTAATATTATATCTAGATTTAATTAGAAAGTGTTCTCCTACAAAAACAAGGCTTAAAGTAGTAACAATTAGCAGAAAGCCATATAAACAACCAGGATTAGCAGTAGTACAAGTTGAATGTTCCTTATGTAATGAATATTGCCCCAATAAGTGTTTCAAATTTTGGAATATTATGTATACATAATGAGATATTTTGGGGATGGGGACCCAACTCTAAACACCAAATTAATTTTTTCATATATACTTCATATACATAATCTGGAAGTAATTTTATAACAATATTTTAAATAGTTTTTTGTATGAAACAATTTTGTAAACACATGATGGTTATGCTCAAAAATTTGGAAGATTTTGGATTTCAGATTAGGGACGCTCAACCTCTAACCAAATTCCAATTTTTTGGAAACAAATTTATCATTTAGAAATGCAGAATAAAGCAATTACGGTACTATTCTAGGAAAGAAAATCACCTGATCATTGTTATTGCCAATTATAAACAGAATTGGAGATAGGATCAAAGATCTGCTTAAATAATCTGTTTATATAACATAAAAACATAATTTTAAGCATGTAACATGATGGTCAGAATATTTTATAAGCCAGCAAAATCCTCTCTAATTCTAGATATGAAGTAAGCATTTATTTCTTTATTTATTCAAAGAATGTAAGAATAAAAAAGAGGCAAAAAATAAGTAGGCAAATCCACAAAGAAAAACATTTTTTAAACATAAATAAAAACCCTCAATCTTTTAAGACTTGTCCTAATTCTAAGAACTATTCATATGGTGGGAAAAAAAACGTTCAAAGTAGCAATTTAACTCAGTAAGCAAGTGCTATCAAAATGTATATTTAATACATGGGTTAGCTGAGGCTCAAAGATGTTCAGTGAAGGACTAGAAAAGTCATTCGTCTCACTCATAGTTTAGGGTCCTTTCATTTTACAAGGCTGTTTTTCATTAGATGCTTCCTGGTGGTGAAAGAAAAATACTAATAAATATCAAATGAAAGCCTCTATGATAAACATCATTTGTATACAATAATTCCCACATTTGAGAGTCATTTTGAACTATATTCTCTAACCCAATTATATTCTCTATTGCCAAAGTCTTTCCATTATGAAAATATGAATCCACAACAATTTACATTAAACTCTTCAGGAAGGTAATGTACTATTTCAAAAAATATGATTTAAAAAAATAGAGGAAAAAAAGGTTAAAAAGCAGAATGTTTTAACCATTCAGGTAACTGCAGAGTATCTGGAAATGACATTCTATCAATCTGTAAACTTAAATGGGATATAGCCTTACTGAACAGTTTGCATTTTAAATAAGACTTTAACATCCCTATTTTTAAAAATTAATTTTATTGGCACATTTTATATCTCTATTTATAAAAATATTTACTTTTTTGAGACAAAGGTCTGGCCGTGTTAACCAGGCTGGCTTTGAACTTGTGACCCTTCTGCCCTCAGCCTCCCTAGTAGATGGGATTTTAGGCATATGCACCAGGCGTGGCTATAAAAATCTTAACGGATTAAATATTTTTCCTTGGTATCCAATAACCAGTTAATTGTCAAATGAAGGGGAAAAAAAGGAAATGGCTAGAAAGAAAAACAGCATTTAATTACTATGTTTTGCCAAGTGCAGAAATATTAATTTATATAATAAAAGTTTTGCTGTTGCAACATATGTATTACTCTAATTTATAACTTTAAAGAAACAACTGCATTTTAAAAAAACTAACCTGTCTACTTCATCTCGAGCCACAATGTCTCCTTTCTTTAAAGCTTTTATAGCAAACATCTCATTTGTGTGTTTATATTCAGCCAAAAGCACCTGAAATAAGAATAAAATAATTATGTCCTATTTGATTTATTAATTTTATAGGTATGCCAAAAAATTCCAAAAGATTACCTTTCCAAAATGTCCTCTACCCAAGACAGCACAACATCTGAAATCTTGTAGATTAAACTGAAATCTCTGCTGAGATCTGAAAATAGCAATTTCAATTACAAGTAAGGCAAGAAATATAACATCAAAAATGTAGTAACAAAATACTGTAAACAGTCTTTACCTTCTATCCTCAAGTTCTCGAATACCACTATATCCCATCCCTGAATCAGGAATATCAGATTCATATTCAGGTTGTGATTTTGGAAGTATAGTATCTCTGTCATTCTCAGTATCAAATACAGTTTCTGGATCCTGTAAAATATTAAATGCTCATTAAACCACAGAAACATTCATAATCATAAATTAAATGAGAGAAAAAACTCAGCATTGTCTCTTGGACACTAATTTTATATTAATATTAAAAATGCAAAATACTAACACATTATCATCAATCATCTTCAATACATATTGTTAAGCAATGTATAAGACAATGTTTTAGGGGCTGGGGGCTATATAGCCTAGTGCTGGGCCTAGCGTGCATGAGGCCCCAGCTGGATTCAATTTCTAGCACCACACACAAAAAGTCACCATCAACACAACATCTAATACTAGCCATGCTCGTATGATCTTTCTAGCTTAAGAAAATTATCCCTATGGCCTGTCAGCGTCCAGAGGCTAATGATGGCAGAACAACACTAAGAACTTGGTTATCTTCTGCTCAACTTGGTCTAATTTAGGATAGAACATTTCACTTATAAGACATATACAGTGGACCAGCCTGACATACAAACAACGTGCGTTAATTAGGTTAATGGAAGATTCATGTGCCTCTTTTTACCTATACCATGTACTGAGGTACATGCACCCAGATCTGTACCCAGATCTTAGCTGTCACAACAACTCAGACTTAGTTACAACCAGCCCTTGGGAACTGATCAAGTTCGTAAGTCAAGGGTTCACTACATACACACAATTTACAGAGGTGATTTTAATTGAAATGTGGACTTTATTCACTGGGATGAATTTTACTGCTGATTCATTTGGTAAAAAGGAATCATACAAGGTTTTAAATGCCTTGCCTGTCCAGATGTATCCAAAACTCTTAATTCAGAAGATTCATCTGTATCTCCAAGGGAAGAAGCACGTGGTGGGGCTGGAGGAGGTTCAGGCTCAAGATCAAAGTCCAATTTGGTTACTGGAGAATCACTTACAGAAGATAACGCAATTCACCGGAACAGTAATAAAAAATGTTTATTTTAAATAGCTTTAAAACAAAAGCAAACTTTTAAGAAAAGTAAATACAACATTACTTCAAAATACTACGTAGAAAAACTGAAACTCTTAGTAAAACCACTGTATTTCACATATAACAATGTCTCAATAACTACTTTGTGTTTAAACATCATAGACTCATACCTAGCTGATGGCGCAAGCTCAGGCATGCGAACATCAACCACTGGCACTGTAGTGGGCACAGGAGCTTGAGGGCTGAAGGTTCCAGAATGATTTACTGTAGGAATAGCTCTTCTCACGAGTCTTCCCCAAGTGGCAATATTAATATTCATTTGAGGAGCTCTAAGAAATGTTTTGCCTGTAGATATTGTGAATAAAGAAAACAGAATAAGCAATTTATATATTACCAAAAGCTATAATTTAAAAACTCATATTTACCAGTTTATAATTTATGAAGAACAAACAAAATTTGTCACATCAAAAAACAAGTTCTTAACTATTTGCTACTAAAGTTAGTGCAAAATAGCATAACAGTTCAAAAAATAAAACAGTAAGAAGTTGTTACTTATTTTCTTAAGTACAGTAATGACATATATGGTTAAGGTTTTTAAAGAATCCTTATCTTTTAGAGATACAAACTATAATATTTATGGATGAATTGATGATGTCTGGGTTTCCTTCAAATAATGTGAGAAAATGGTGAGTAAATAAGATATAGGTAAAACAAAACTGGCCAGGTTGCTGATGGTACACTGCACTAACCTTTCCACTTAGGATGTGTTCAAAATGTTTCTTAACAAAATGTTACAAATAAATGCACTAAGAGGAAAGAAACCACACATGGATATTACTTTAAAAATAATAATTGTATTTTCTATATTTAATAAAACACCAAAATTATTCTGTATTTAATTTTTAGTTAATTACCTTGCTGTTTGGAAAAAATTTTCTTTTGTCTTTGGAGTTTTGGTCTTCTTTCAATAACTGGATTAAAAAAGGTAACCTGCAGTGAAAAAAATTTAAATTGATGTGAAAATAGCATTGGATTTACGGCTCATGAAATCCACTAAACTCCTAAGATTTGAAGGCTTAAGGGAATCTCAGCCATAATGTAGTCCAACCCCTCATTTTCTCGATGAGAAAACAGACTGAGAAGAACTAACTTTTCTCAAGGTCACATACCTTTTCAATGGTAGGGCTGCATCAAGAATCCAAGTCATCTCTTTCAGCCTAACACTCTATCCACTTCTACATCATGTTGCCTACATGCATAATTTCAATTGTAGTTATGCACATTTAATAAAATACATTTATTACCTCTGCAAATAAAGTACCCTGTGGTTCCAAATAGAGACACATGCCATGCCGTTGGTTGTCTAAAAAATCTTCTAACCTCAGAAATTTTACAGCACACAGAGATCGCCAATCACGCCAATAAACTGAAATTTCCAGTTCACGTGACTAGGATAATTAAAAAAGAACAAAAACAAAAACAGAAAAGACATCATTGGACACACACTTGAATAAAGTATCACAAAAAATATGAAATACAGAGTAAACAAAGATAACACACAGATCACATTATTTTAAATAAAATTTTGTAATCTTTCTCAGTTATATATTACCTTCAACAAACTTTAACTTAAAAAAAAACAAACCAAAATTTATATTCAGACAGTCTCTGGGTAAGGTATTTCTAAAATACACTAAAATATATATATATATCAGGAGCAACCAATACAGATGAAAGACCACAGAAACTCAGCTCTCTTATATCTTCAACCTTTCTGCTTTCCTTTCTCTATGTGCCATCACCCGTTGTACTATTGTTGAAAGACCCCAGTGCTTGTCTCAAAAAGCCCATGTCAAACTTTCTTATGTCCTTACTGTTGACACGGGGAAAGATATGCAGATGGCATTTATAATGCATGTACAGCATGCCACACACTGTCCTAGGCACTTTAAAAATAACAGGTCATTTAATCTTCAACAGAACACCACAGAGTAGCAAGACCAGAGGGCAGAGCAACCTCCACTGGGAGGGAGGAAAGGGGAAATTTGACTATGCTTTACACAGAAAAATGTTTATTTATTATCACACACACACACACACAGAAAATTAAAGCAAACTTCAAATTAGAACTTGAATTCCAAAACTCCGGGAGTTAAGTTAAATATATTGTACTATATTTACGCAAGAGAATATACTGTAGTCCGTAAAAATAGTGCTTACATGGGGAAACATATTTAAGGTTTTATAATAAGCTATTATTAAAAGCACTTTTGAGTTTGTTTGATACAAGGTCTCACTATATAGCCCAGGCTGGCCCTGAATTTACCATCCTCCTACCTCAGCCACTTAAGTACTGAGATTACAAGTGTGTGTCACCATGCCCAGTTTCCTAAATGCACCTTTAGAAACACAGTTTATAAACTGTTATTACATAATTACAAACTGACTGTAACACATGTTATAATCTATATGCATTTTCAAAAATAAAGCATTAAGACTCATTATTTAGTTCTTCAGGATTATGCAGACCATCCACAAAGAGATAAATATTCTTCCCTTTAGGCACTACAAAGCATTATTACTTTACATAACAACTTTCATTTATGAATTATGCATCTTATGATGTAAGTCTCCAGTATATGTAATAAAAAATTTGACGTTAAATTATAAAACTAGTTGATGCAAATGAATAGACATAAAAACGCAACATGAAAAAAATGGTCAAAACACAAGGTGCCAGAAAGATTCACACCTAATCAGGAAAATTATCAGAAAATTTTATTTATGGTATATGAGTCCAGGGCCCCCTATCTCATGTCTTCTCTCATAATTTGGAGAAAAATACTTAACATAGAAGGAAAAGTACAAAGAAAATATAATTAGGCTAGGGTTAGTACATGGTGTCTGGAGTGAATGGAGTAGTAATGCTATATGGTATTCTATTTGAGCTAAAAGTTTATTTCATTTTAGTGTTATTGGAGATTGAACCCAAGGTCTTCATGCTGAGCTACACAACCTGTCCTTTTCGTATATTTTATTCTGAGACACAGTCTCACTAGGTTGTTACGGTGCCAAGTCTGGCTCAAACTTGTGATCCTCCTGCTTCAACCTCTGGATTCTAGGATTACAGGTGTGCACGATTATGCCCAGCTTAGGTCAAAAGCTTAAATATTCTGGAAACAGCTATTTGGGGAAATAAACTGAGAGAACAACTATATTAGGCACTGGTAATTTTGACTATGTTTCTTTAGAACAGGGGAAGCGAGGACTACTTCCATTTTCTTCCTGAGAGAGGAAGACTTATTATGGGTCAGGGACATGCAAGGGATATAGATGAGGGAATAAAATCAGTATTTGTTAAAAGTTCTCACATGTTCACATTTCAAAAATGACAAGATTACATATTACTCTGGATGACACCAGGTCCAGCTACTCATTTGCTACTTAGTCTCGCCACTCTGGTAAAACTAACACATCGACTCATTTGTCTTTCCTCTCTACTCCATATTTCAAACTATTAGAAATCTGAGATTTGGGAGGGAAGGTTCACCTCACAGACCTCAGGCTATAATTCCTAGAGGTCTACTGTGAAGTTTTCAGTATAAAACTCTTTATTTTTTGTGCCTTTGCACTGTATCCTGTGAAAATCACTCTCTTTACAACATAAGAGGAGGGTGGCTTTGATCTAGAGATATTGTATTTTATATCAATACTTATAATTTATGCCATGAATCCATAATCCTCTTTAGCCACTAACATCCAATGTGGTTTGGGGAAATTAGCCAAGGATACAGTATGTGAGAAGTAAATTATCATATGAGGTTTCTACATAAAAAACTCTGCTTAGAATTTTTTCCCCACAAGACAGGGTCTCACTATGTAGCTCAGGCTGGCCTTGAACTTGCAGAGATCCTCCTGCCTCAGTCTCTTGAGTGCTGGGATTACAGGGAGTGCACCACCACGCCTGGCTCACTGTTGAGAATTTAAATTACAAGTGTGGTTGCTGGTTTGCTGGCAACCTTCCAGATGAAGCAGGTCAATTCTACAAGGCAAGGACATGTTCATAAGTAATTTTAAACTATAAGAGCAACAAAATTCTAGATGGAATAAGCTATCAAAAAAACTCAACGGCACAATTTGAGTTAGGTCCTAATTGGCAACACTGGTGGCCTCTCTCAGCTTGTGGTTCATTTTGCTTTACAGTGAATTTAAATTTAGAACCAAATTCAAAACTGTATAGTAGAAATCCCTTCAAGGCCTGAATGTAATCAAAAAAAAAGGTAAAAGACATTGAATCAGCTTTACATGCAGTGGAGTAAGAGCAACAAATTTTAAAATGTGATGCAATTAAAAACAAAAGACAAACACACACCACTGCCTTGGTTATTTTTCTTGTTGCTGAGACAAAATACTCAAAACCCAAAGTTAAAGGAGGAAAGGTTTACTTTGGCTCACAGTTGGGTGGCTTAAAGGCAGAGTGGCATTGCAGAGGGGCATCACAGAGGAGAAAGAGTTCATGGTGGGCAGAAGTCACCAAAGTAGCACAGTAGCAAAGCGGCAGCAGCAGACTGCCTCTCCCTTTTATCCCTTCCAGGCCCAGGGTCAGCACACCCTGGGTTGGCCTTCCCATTATCAACACCCAGAACTGTGCCAAACCAATCAGTGGACTAATTTTCTCCCCTATTACCTCAAAGGCTCATGCATATCCCTTTATGGAAAAGGCATTCAGTCCACCTCAAAGAGTTGCCAAAGACCTAACAGTTTCAGCATTGCTGATAAGTCCAAGGCTAAAGTCTCTGAGATTTAAAGCCAACTCCTACCTGCAAGCTCCTATACAAATGAAAAGAAAGTAAACACTTTCAATATACAATGGCACAAGATAAACATCCCATTCCAAACAGAGGAATAGAAAGGAATGAGACCAAGGCAAGACAAAATCCATCAGGGTAAACATTAAGTGCTGGTGTTCCATGTCTAGCATCCAAGGCAACTTGTGGCAAGATATGAACTCCAAAGGGCTGAGTGGCTCTGCTCCTACACCACTGCATATGGTTGCAGCTCTTATGGCTTCTCTCTTGGGCTGGTTCTGCATACTCCTTGCAGCTTTCCTCAGATGATCCATGTTCCTGGCTTCTCCAACATTCTGGGGCCTCCACTGAACCTTTGGCTTCACACTCATAGCTTCACAAACTGCCAACTCAGTAGCACACTGCCTGGCCTCCCAGGCCTTCTTCTGAAATCTGGGTGGAAGCCTTCTTCACCCCACAACTCTTGCATTCTGCATGTACCTAAAACCAGCACCATGTAGATGGCGCCAAGGTCTGTTGCCAGCTGAAGCAGTAGCCAGGCTTCTTTCTCTCTTGGCTATAGGGGTTGAGTGCCTGGATTGCTAAGTGCTATGAGCCAAATCCCCAGGAACAAATTTTCTAGGCCACCTCCATGGAACATGCTACTCTGGAGTGCTCTTCTGTAAGCAAAGTCTTTTACCTTTGCAACTCTCAGACTGCAAAGGGTACAGTCCTGCTGGTTCTTGTGATGACTTCAGGCCATCTTTTCTACTATCTCTGTTCCTTTCTGCAACCAAGTTCTCCTCTGCTCTATCAGTCTACAACTTTACTACAGTTTCCTTTCTGGCCAAACTTAAAACTTTAAATCACTCAGCTGTAACTTTTGGTCTTCATTTTCAAGGTAGAGCTGTCTAAAAGCCCCCAAAAGAAGCCATGCCACTGTGTCAATATTAGACTGCCTTGAAATTTCCTTAGCAAGATTAAATAATCAAGCCGGAGATTTAGCTCAGTGGTTCCACCTCCTGCCTCACAAGCACAAGGTCCCGAGTTTGATTCCTAGTATCCCCCCCCCACCAAAAGATAAAAAAAGATTAAATAATCTGCTGCTCTTAATTTCAGGCTCCATCAAAGTCTTAGGACAGGCCCAAAATGCAAACAAGTTCTCCACCACAGCATAACACACATAGCCAGAAGTCCAACTGCCAATGTAGTCCTTATTCCTAACTAAAACCTCATGACCCTGGTCTTTACTGGCTGCATTTCTATCAGCATTCTGGTCTTCTGAGCTCTAACCAGAATCTCCCATCAAGTACAGCTTAAAGCATTCCAACACTGCTTCTTCAGACAGCATCTCCAAACCTTTCCAAACTCTTTCCACAAGCTACTTCCAATGGCTCCTGAACCACATGGTTAAATACAGTCACAGCAACAACCCCACTCTGGGTACCAAAAACTCTTATCAGCCAGTGCTAGCTAGAGAAACAGATTTAATACAAGATATACAAATATATAAGAACTGACAAGATTGGCTTGCAATAGCGCCCACAGAGACAGATATGGAAGAGCGCAAAAGGTCTGTCTGTGTGCTGAAGATCCAAAGGATCCAGTTGAAGTCCTGAAGCTCACTGTAATGTCCCATTCGAGTCCAGGTCTGCACTGGA